TACGCATAATATGAGATGCATGAGTTCAGTTATTATCGTTATATAGGAAGAACGAGGCTTGTAAATTAAACTATTCGCGACTTAGTGCGAGATTTTCTTTTATAATATTTATATTCCACCATTTTCCCATAATATCGTCATTCCTAAAGCGAAAATAGTACGCTAAAGCGGTCATAATCCATAATGTTTTATATTTCATAAAAAGATTTAGTTTTTCTAACCCAGTATTGATCTTTTTCCAAATCGTTTGGAGGCAAACATAGCTAGAGATATCAAACTTTTGTTCATCCGAGAACTGTACTTGTTCCCAAAAATCATTTGGCATCTTCCAAACTCTTGTTCAGTTACATGTTTTTAGAATGATTATATGAAATATATAAATATAATATAAATACCAATAGCAACACAACAATTGTACTTAGCCTATTGCAGTGCCGTAATTACCGTTAATTACAGAAACATCGATTCTAAGTTCTTCTCTAATCTCTTCAGCAATCTGTATGATGGACATTTGTGGAATCACTATCACTTTTTGGACTATTTGGCTGTTTAAATATCTATGATCAATTAAATGTTTTGCATCTTCAAATAAAAATGCTTCATTGAAACGCAGCATGACTCTCCGAATGAAATCTATTTATCATATCTAGTACAATCTAGCATTTCTTAAATATCTATGCCTTGTTTATGCAAAAAAAAGAATAATTTTACTCTGGGATTATCTTTGCGTTCCGAAATTTTTTAAAAAATAAGTTAATTCTATGAAAATTTTAAGAACACTGATTATTTCACTTTGACACGTGATAACTGTTCATTTTAGGAAGTAGAAATAATGGCGCTTCCACCAAAAAAATGTTTGGACCATAAATTTGTAAGATAGTTGGTAAGTGTGCCAATAATTTTGTTCAGGAAAATTGGATACTTTTTTGAATCTCCCTTGTTTAATAACAAATATGATAAACATTTTGTAATGCAACAAAGTGAATTTTGTGGAGAGCCTATCACTATATCTACTAAAAATGTCTTTTTATTAAAAATCTATGTCATAATGTCATTAAATATATGGTGATGTTTAATGTGCTTACTGTGCCAATAATTTAGTTTGTCAGTGTATAGAAGGACGACAAAATCTGCTAAAAAAGTGAAACTTTTAGCAATATGTACCACATTTATTGAAATATAACTTCGATTTATTGCAATATTTTTTTATTTCCTACTTTAATGTCAGTGGCACATGTTTCAAATCGAAATGGCGAAAATTTAGTTTTCAATATTTTGCACTAGAAGGTAGAAAAAGTAATAATTAGGGTTGTCAATTATTCGTGTTTAAAATTTTTCGAATAGAAATTTACAATATTTTTTTCATTCGAGTAGTCGATTCAATTTTAAAAATTATTCGAAATATAAATAAATCTTGCCAAACACCTCCAAAATACGGGTCAAAACGGGTTTTCGTACATTAATGCAGTTATAAGTCAGTAACTTGGTTGAATCTCAACCTATTTTAAATGTTTCAACGGATTTAAAAGTGGAAGCTGAGGACTTTATAATGATATATACGATGTTTAACTAATCTGCAGAAATATGTGTGCATTTTATCTGCTAAAATTTTTTTTCATGTTAGTTTTGCACAGTTTTCCAAGTTTTGCGGATGTTTTTACAAACTATTTTATATAAGAACCTACTATTTATTAATGTATTATGAAACTATGTCTATTCTGGATAAAACGCAACTTCGTTTTTATTGACAAATATCAATATCTTTTTCTGACAAAGTTGTTCAAAAACTGATTTTCTTTATATGAAGAATAGAGTTAAATATTGGCAATAAAATCGAACCTAAATCTAAAGCTATGTATACACGGTTGCAGAAAATGTCTAACAACGGTGTCAATTTACAAATTTTATCTTGCAATATTTTCAGTAATGCTTTTTCTTGCAAGTTCACACGATTATTGGACATTTGTCAGATCTTACAATGTTGTCAGTAACGTTGTAAGATCTGACAACCGTGTATCAGAGCTTTAATACTTAAATAACTAATTTAATTAATGTTTATATGTTTCACTTCAAAAATGCAGAGAATCAAATTTAAAACTGGAAGCATTATATTTTTAACATTGCAAGACATAAATATTTATAAATTTGCAAAAAGTAGTTAAATTTTTGTTTCAATTATAACAGATCTTTAGATTTATATGTATTTACAAAATATTAACGCAATTCTTTGTTCAATACTATACAATAATATTAGTAAAAACAAACACTTAAATATTATTCGAATATCCGATTAATCGACAAAAATTGTTCGAATTATTCTTTATTCTAAATTGGAAATTTTTTATTCGTTCGAAGAAACACAATTCTTTTTCGTCGAATAATTGACTAAATCCTTAAAAACTGGGCAACGAAATGAAAGTTTGTAAAAACTTTTGAAACCAATTGGACTAATTTTAATGTATTTTTAACTGCTGAAACCGCATCTGATATCTGTTTTTTTCTATCACGCACCATTTTCTCGCAAAATGGCGTCGAATATTTGGTTCATATATTACGGACATTTTATAAAATTATAATAATATATTCACGTTTAAGGGTTAATTTTGATTTTTTCGATGTCATCATAAATAAGGCTATTTATTATATATTTTTCATTTATTTATTTATTATATAGTTTCATTTAAATCGGTTGAAAACAAAACAATATTTCACTATGCATTCAAGGAAAATTTCCAATATTACATATTTAGCTTGAGTTTCACCTTTACCGTTTATGGGTTAACATTATTCGATTTTACTCAAACTTCTAATGTATGTTTTCTATTATCTTGAATTTTATATTCTGAAAAGATTTTATATAAAATGCGTAACAGTAAAGAATAAAGTTTATTTTTCAAAAATTTTACCAAAAAAATATTTTCTCAGAAACCTTTATATTTCAAATCGCAGGTACTTTCTTTACTATTTTATTCCCTTCCTTTTTGTCCATAAGTCGCACGGAGATTTTTTTAAAATTTGCATAACAAAATTTTTAAAAGTTTTAAATTGGTGTTTTAAAACAGCAGTCTGAAGGGTTTCCCATTTATGACTAAATCCCAAATACGGTTTTTAAATATTTCTCATTTAAGTGTTTTGTGACACTAAATGATCGGAGGAATTTGTAATAACCAGAGCAAGAATTTCTATGCAAATGCATGTTTGTAGTCAGTAATTCAAAATAACGTTTAACTATTTTTCTTTTCGATTCAAAGAATTTGCTATAAAATGGCATCGATTTGTTGTTGCATATTTTGTTATAAATGCATAAATTGCTTATTTTTCTTTATATTGCATATTTCTAACAGTTTTATTGCATATTTTGGAATTTTTCTAACGCAAACGTCCATAATTCACTTTAAAACATTATCACGCGATAAAATTCTGAATAAATATCATTAATGCAAAAATACATCCATTCACCAAATATTGCTTTCATATAAACCCTCTCTTAGAAAATCAATTTTTCATTAAAAAATTGTTTAAATAAAAATTCAACATATTTTATATATACTCATAATTGGTCTAGGGTGTCATATGGCTGGCCACGTCCGACTATACTTTCTTGTTTTAATTCGTACATGTTCGTTGTTCGAATGGAGCTAGTAATGCACCAATTTACATAAAATTCCGAATTTCATTGCTGTAATCGTATTTTAAAGGCAGTGGTGATCGTTAAAGTAATTGTCTTATATGGGGGATAGGGCGGCTAGATTGTCTTATAATTTCGTAAGGACCCAGAATATACATATATACTTTTGTGGGTCTACGACCAATATTTCGATGTGTTGCAAACGGAATGACAAAAACAATGCTGGGTTGTGATGGGATGGTGGGTATACCAACGAAAAAGAAAAATACGTCTTAATCACCATCACTTTACCATCAGTAGCCACACAGAAAAAAATATCGTAGGAAATATTAACGAAACATTTTAGTAAGCGGACTTTTTTAAAGCTTTACATGAAGTTAGTAGTCGTAAAGATTTAAGAGGTTATACCAAACATCCATGTTTTGCGTATCCCCACATTGTTTTGTGTCATGCTTTTAAATTTGAGGTTGCTGCGGAAAAAATATTTCAAATTGTTTAGAGTATTTCTGGTCCGCAAAACGACTTTTAGTGCATTTTAAGGGGCATATAAACTCCAAAATAATCTAAAAACAATTCTGAAATGGACCAAACGTAATGCCAAAAATTTTTTATAAGCTAAAAATTACGACGCCTATTTCGATAAAAAGCAAAAATAATATGCCTCTCAAAACCACTAAAAATTTTTCATTTTTCTCGTGTTCAGTACCAGGCATGGGGAATAATGACTACATTTACAATTACATTAGAAGTAATTGTAATTGAAGATTAACCAATTACAATTACTTGAAATTGAAGTTTAGCCAATTACAATTATTTGTAATTGAAGTTTCGCCAATTACAATTACTTTTAATTGTAATTGAAGGATTTTCAGTTACAACTACTTGTAATTGTAAATTTTGTTCCTTATAATTACATGTAATTAGTAATACCTAAATTACAATTAATTTTACTTGGAAACTTCAATTGCAATTTCACGTAATTGTAATTGACAAAACTTCAATTACAATTACAAGTAATTGGTTATTGGTCAATTACACATTACAAGTAATGTAATTGGTTATTTCTCAATTACATATCACTTTGTAATCATTACCCCCCATGCCTGTTCAGTACATTAATACGCATCGATTATTCGTACATGAGGTTCTTAAAAAGGCAGATCCCCGGACACTCTAATGTACATAGAGGTGCACAAAAAATATCGATTTTGTTTGTCTTATTTTGTTCATTAGTGTCTAAAACTAACTGGTGTTAAATTTTAGTATAATCCGTTAACAGGAACCCGTATTTTTTATGTACATATTTACATATAAATATGTATTAAGTTTGCCCTTCTTCAAAATAACTGATCTTACTACATATGGCACCTACCTAGTCTTGAAATGTGATTAGTTGCAACATCAATACTTTCAGCTGAGTTATTAAATGTCCAAGTAAAATCGACATCTGGGGGATTAGCGTCAACAGAACATTTAATTTTCGCATCTTCTTGTTTAGCTACACCATATATTCTTGGTTGGTTTGGTACACAGGTTGGAGCATCTGAAATGAAAAAATCGTTTACAATTATTATAATAAAAATAGGAAAGAGTGTTGTTATATTCAGATATTCCGAATTAGAAAACTTAGTTGTTTTAAAACCGCTCTTCGAATAATTTGAAAACTTGTATTTTATTTCTGAACAGCTTTCATAAAAATTAGTAAAATTTCGGAAATTAAAAAGGATTAATTATTATTTATTTTTTTGCATTAGTTTAGACAAATTTTGCAAATTTCAAGATATCTCAAAGAAAGGAGAATATAAAATAGAGATTAAATATGGCCAGAGGATTGGATAGTCTGATTATGAGGCAAGATTCGATACTTCAAACTTTGAGAAGTATACTTCAGTCTCTGAGTTCAAAAATTGCTGCCTCATGTTATCTAGAAAATAGTAAAGCTTGCCTATTTTGGAATAAAACAGAAAATATGTATTTGGACAGAAAAATTATAAGCAAATTATAAAAATGTATCTTTTTCTAAAAATTTTAACAAAATTACAACCTTAAAAAACTGGTTAAATAACCGGCATAAAAAACAGGCCAGTCGAATAATTCGAAAATATTCGAAACCGGTCGGTTTTCAAACTAGAAAAAAAAACGGGATTGGTTTTGAATACTCTATGCTCAATCTAGCCGGAATAAAGTCTTAACTCGTTTGTAGACTACATCAATATAAAAGGTCATACAAAAAATAGGCAAAATCAGTCAAATGGGAATGAATTGTTCACAATTCAATGATAATAAATAATACATCTATTTTTATGTTATAGTGGCTATGTGCCTCGATAATCTGTCATGGTTTCTGATATAATTTCCATTATTTTTTATATTAGCCGCGCCCACTAATTTTGATCTGCTTATTTTTGTTCTAAAAGTTCAATGGATATTCATTTTACTCATTTCCAAATTCTACTTGCTAAAGGTTTCCATTTATACAAAATTAACTTTTTTTCTTTATGTAAGAGGAGCCACACCCATTCTTATTGGTCTTCCCATTTTTGTTCTAAATATTTGTATGGACAATAAAGTTATTCGTACAAATATTTAATGATTCCTGCCGTTATAGTTTCCCAAATATATGTACGTAATTTATTATTTACTTGATGTGAGAGGTCCACGCCAATATATTGTTGGTCTGCCCACTTTTACAAATATTTGTACGAATTTCAGAGTTTTACTTACAAGATTCGAGAAACATCCAGTTACATAATTTAATCCCTTTTCTAAACAAAACATCTTTTATAAAAAATATAAAAAGCAATTTTTACTAATACTTTTACTATATGTATTAATTTCAACAAACAAAATTTTGTTTAACATATTATTTTTTTAATTACGTTTTAAAGAAAACAAAATTTATTCTTATTCAGGTCTGTTCTGTAAATCGATTCGTTTTCAAAACCGAGAAGCTTTTAAAACCGAATTTGGTGTTCCCTTTTAAAAATCCTTATTTTAATGTAATAAAACGTTTTTTATATTCTTTAATAATTTAGTTTTTTATTTTAATATAATATATCAAAACCAAATTAAAAAAATATGAATAAATAAATAAATAAAACACAAAAAGTTAAATTAAGATAGTATATAATAAATTAATATAATATGCGTGTCCTCTGTGGTTTCCTCCTCCATATCACTCAGCTCTGTCTCTTTTTTTTATACCCTTCACCTTCGTAAGAAGGGTATATATAAGTTTGTCATTCCGTTTGTAATTTCTATAATATAATTTTCCGACCCTATAAAGTATATATATTCTGGATCCTTATAGATAGCGGAGTCGATTAAGCCATGTCCGTCTGTCTGTCTGTCTGTTGAAATCAGTTTTTAGAGGACCCCAGATATCGGCGAGATCCGAATCTTCAATAATTCTGATAGACATGCTTTCGAGAAGATCGCTATTTAAAATCAGCAAAATCGGTCCATAAATGACGGAGATATAAGCAAAAATCCGAGACAACCTCTGAAAATTTCATTAAAAAAGACAATTTTTTCATGCTTTGATTAATAAACAACAACAACACTGCTTATTCATTAAGTATTTCGTTTCACATGTTTGGATGGCTGTGTGTTTCATTGGCATGTGTATATTGTTTTTGTTTCTTGGTGTATTCAGTTTTGTATGTTTGGATGGCTGTGTGTTTCATTGCCTTGTGTATATTGTTTTTGTTTGTTGGTGTACAGTTTCGTTTGTTGGTTTTACTGCCTTGTTTATTTTGTTTTTTGAGTGTTTATTTCGTTTAGCGTTGTTGTTGTTCATTTTGTTTTGCTATTGCTATAATAATGATATAATCGGGAAAATTAAATAGGTACATAAATTTAAATTTTATAAAATTTATATTTTTTAAATACACTATGGTGAAGGGTATATAAGATTCGGCACATCCGAATATAGCACTCTTACTTGTTTTTTAATTTTTGTGCGACCCATATTGCTGAAAAATAAGAAAATATATTGTGACTTTGTGTCAATAAAAATATAGTAAATGGGTAAATTGTATATCAAATAGCTGTGCTAAATTTGGCTAAGCCTAGTATATTTCAAAAAATTATAACAAAATACAATACGTACCTTTTGTTTACAGTTAGGTATTATTTGTTGTTGTACACTTTTTTCACTCTCCACACACTTACCTTTTTACGTCAGCACTACTCGCTTTAAGATCAAATCAATAACTGAATTGTATATATTTTTTATTTTCTATATCATAAAAACATTATTATATAATTTTAATCTCTTCATAAATGATCGCAAAAACATGCCCTACTGCCGTACATTTGTATCTCGCGGTAGCAAAAAATTTAAAAATTAATACAATCGCGTGTTTTCTTCTATTAATTATATATGTACTTTCATACAACTTAATAAGAAAAACAATCGTCTACCTCAGGCATGGAAAATTCAGTACTTTAGTACTTTTTTCAGTACTTTTAGAAAAAATACCGTAGTACTCAGCTCTTATGACCCTGTAAAAGGACCATAATGTTTAAAGGACATAAGATTTCAAAAGATGGAATTCCAAATTTATATAAAAAATTTGTTATTAATAATAATATCAAATGAAGCTGAGAACCTCTGAATGATATTTCTTTCTCTCTCGCGCAAAATCAAAAGTTTCCCAAAAATAGTTTCATAGTGTGGACCGGCAGTACGACACATTCGAAATTCGTTTTGACAATTTTTTGGAATATTAGTGTGTGTGTATGATACGAAAATACGTTTGATATATTATTTTAATAAATTAAGTTTTACATTTTCCAATTATTTGCATTTTATTGTAATTTTATTTTTTATTTGTCTTCAACCAATGCGTGAATTACGAATAATTGCACCGTGTGAACGGGGTATTAGCATCATACAACACATATAAATATTTCAAATATTCGTTTGAAATTGTAAGTCCTTTAAACTTGAAGTCCTTTTGTAAGGACATAAGAGCTGATTATAAAAAATGGAGTATGCAGAATTGCTCTAAATGGACTCTAGTTTCACATGCATATCAACTTTTCTATGTGTGAAATCTTTTTTCAAAATTGTCACATTATAAAAATTATATATGATTTAAAAACCTATACATATTTTTTAGATGTCCCTAAAATGACCCAAAGAAACCATTATCCATTCCTATCGCATGTAGCTTACAAATTCTTCCAAAAATGTAAAATTTTGAATAAATCTGGTCCAGATATTGAAGGCAAAGAATAAACAAGATCACTAGATTTCGTTTAGTTTTAGTGATATTATGTCTCAAATATTAGTCGTTCAAAGAAGAACTTAAAATTTCAGATGTGGGACCTGGTAAGTTGGTTTGACTATGTTAAGAAATATGTACTGCAACACCGACAGAATAATATTCAATAAACTAGGCATTCCAAGTAAGCATACTAATAAGATATACCAGAACTTTAAAAATTACAAAACCACTGCCTTATTGCATTTTGGAAGCTTTTTTTAGCTAAGTAACAATGCTTACTTAGCAGCTTATTGCTGCTACCTAATTTTATCGCTTACATTTTCTGATAATTTTTTGCTGGGTCCTTTTTAAACGAGAAATTTACTCGGATTCGATTTACAGAACTGACAGGATTATGTATTCTTTAACGCACTCTTAAATTTTGTTCCTATAGTATTATTAGTTAAGCCACTAGAAACAATTATATTATTACTCTAATATTAAACAAGTTAGAGTACTATATTCGACTGAGCCAAATCTTAAATACCCTCTATCAGCTACTTTTAATTAATCATATTTTTAATAGAAAAACCCACGATTTAAATAGCTTAAATCTGTTACAATTGCAAGATTTATTGAACATTACTAACGCCATTTTTATAGCGCCCTAAAATATGTTTAAGCGATATTTAATAATTTGCATGTATGCATGTGTATGAAAGATTTAAGGAAATTAAAATATGTATATTGTTATACACAAATTGTTTATACTAAACAATTTTAGTAAAGATAATGCAACTAGTTAAATACGTTTAAAGTAGTTTTCGGAAAGGAACATTTTCGTAAAAGTATCTTGTATGGGAGCTGTGACTTAATATGGACCGATCGGGAAAAGAAATTCACAGTAACATTTCTGAAGATAAAAGCATTATTTACGCCAAATTTTGTATGGATATCATTACTTTGTATAAAAGTAATATTTGTACCAAATTTTGCATGGATATCATTGTTTGGTAATGAATTATATAAATTTATGTGTTTTTTTGAAAGGACCTTGTATGGGAGCTATGTATGTGGACCGATCGGAAAAAAATGTACAGTAACTTTTCTTTATATAAAAGCAATATTTGTGTCAAATTTTTTATAAATATCTTAATTTAGGAATAAGTTATCTGCGTTTAAGTGATTTCGGGAGAGGAAAAAATTTTAAAATAACCAGCGTTTAAATATGCAGCAATAGCACAAGATTTATTTTGTACGACTATGCAATAAATATAAAACTTTAACATTTTTCCATCACTTTACTACTAGAAATATTTGTTCTGTTTGC